AATAATTTAAATCATGTTTCAGTTGAATAAATGGTAATTGCCTTTTATCAAATGAAAAAAAGATGATTGTTGTCCCTTTTATTAATAATTGTCTGTAACTTCCAACCATAACCGCCATCATATCTCTGTTTTGCTTAAGTCACTGCTTTTTATCGAAAACAAAAGAATTTGGAGATAACAAACAAAATTCAATCTCAAAGTCCATAAAATAATACAAAATAGGAACAGAGCAAACACGGACCTCCGAAACATTAGAGGTGGGATCAGGTGCCATGGAGGAGTGAGCATTTCCTGCTGACAGGTCACACCCGCCGTGTGCTCCTTGTCATGAACAGGAAATAACGGAAAAATCCGTCGTCAATTCAGTGTATAAAATACAGTGGACTCTCATTTATCAGGACGCTTTGGTTCCCAGTCAATTTGTCCGGATATGTGAAGCATCCGGATATCTGAATCAACAGTAAAACAAGACAGAATAACATTTTAAAATTTCGTTCCGAGGAAAAATCGTCCGGATACTGAAGCATCCGGATATCTGGCGTCCGGATATCTGAATGTCCACTGTAATAATAATGGACTAACAATTGGTATGAAAAACGTTAGTCAGCATTTGACTCAATGATACATTGTATTTGCTGACAAGGTCATTATATCAACCATTCAATCATATTTACATTCTAATATTAATAGAGAAGTATGTATGAACTTTGATGCAGCTTTTTGGGGTTTATTTGTAAATTTTTCAATCTAATTAAGAATAAGTTTAGATTTGATTACAGATAACTTGGTCATACCTTATCAATACAAAAGAGTTCAGGCGAGTTTGACCGGTCGACAGGAGATATGCTAACTGCTCAAAGGTACCTTATTCTTCGACCAAAGTTTCTCGGGGAATGTATTTTCTACTCTGTTCACAATTCAGTATTTTTTATAAAATAGAGATTGATCACTGTTAGTTATCTAATAGTTTTAATATTGCCATTGCTAGTAACTGTCCCTTTTGAGAAAAATGATGGATAAATTCAATTTTTGTTTTACAGAAGAAATACCACAGGGTGTATTTTCATGAACTTTTCCTAATATATTCAATAACGAATATATTTTCCAGAAAAAAAAACAACCAAAAACGAATTTACATTTTCCCCATACTTTTATACCTAGTAATGTAAAAGGTAAAGATAACGAACAGTGATCGACCTAAAAATCTAAAATCTGATTAGAATCACAATCTTTTTGTGCATTATCAATTTGGTAAAACTAGTTTAACTATAAAAGCACAAAACATGGGCAAACTGACCATTGAGGAAGGAGGGACAGCCATTGGAATGATGCTATCTGGATCATCCTTACAACACGTTTTACTCACTTTTTTTCAGTGTTTATTTTTTCCTTGATATTACTTTAAAAAAAAATTAACAACCAGTATACGGTAAAAACCCATTTAAGGGGGCCGACTATAGTTTCCATTGCGCAATATTTCGCGCATCAGAGTAAAATTAAGCGTATTTACTGTTTTAATGCAACTTTTTTCGCTTAATTATTAAAATTAAACAAAATTAAGAAATTATAGGTATAAAAATGTAATTACAATTTGACATAACTGATTTTTTAACCGATTTTGCAATTGATAGGTAGGTTGACGTCGTTGCAGTGTGTTTTTGACGTTATGATAATCTGTAGCTCTTAAAGAAAGGGGTAATAAAAATATTATTAAAGAAAAAGTAATAAACATACGCTCTTGAAATTTAAAACATAGAAATTTGAGAATATTTCCAATATTTTTATTATGTTTTCATGTGAATCCATTGTGTACGTCATATTTTGTAATACTCTATAAAAAAAGTAAAATTTGCTAATTTTTTTGCATTTTGAGATGCCCCCTCTGGTAACAAGACGGTAGAATTTTGTGTTTCTTACATATATTGTATAATATATTATTACTCATCAAATATTATAGTTTGAACAAAATGTCTATTGTAGTATTTGTATAATTTGCTTTAAAGTGCTAAAAATTGGCATTTTCCTATATAATCCTATAGTAAATGTACCAGTATTTTGAGACAGTCCCTCAGAAATACCTGGACGGTAGATTTCCCCCAAACTCTGCATGTACACTGAAGTTAATGTAAGTTATATATGGTATACACTTGAAGAGTTTCGCTATTGTAGTTTTCACACAATAAAACTATAGTCGGCCCCCTTAAAATATTTTTCAATAGGTTTTGCGTCATTTTCATTGCAAACTTATCTCGATTTGAAAGATTTGAACAAAATTTAATCAAACCGGCAGTGATTTGGATATTCAAGGCCAAGGTTTCGCGTCACAACCACGTTAAGAGATTATTACATGGTCCTGAAATACTTTAGAGCAACAACTTCAATGGTAAGAAAATGGAAGCATAATGGTGCTCATCATGCCATTCCAATAGTTTCTTAAACACTCTGAAGCATCCTTACGTGCGAAACGCCCAAGGATATGGACCAAAATGATTTGTGATCCTCTGGCCTGCCAAACCCCTGATCTGAATCCAGTTGAACACATTTGGGATTTTTAAAAGGAATGTCACCCCCCTCCACATAATTTTAACGGTTTAGAAAAATCCTTGCAGTGTGGCAGCAGATGGGTCAAGCTCCTATTCAGGGGTACATTGTGTCCATGAAAAAAGGGTGCCTTTCATTAATTAAAGCGAGTGGTGGTCTTACTCCATAGAAATTATTTTATGTGAATTTTTGTTTTGAAGGTACATCATATCCTTGATGCTTTGCTTTAAACATCAAACTGAAATATGCCTCATTAACCATGAATTAAAGAAATTATTTATTGAATGTATTTGTTCTTTATAACTTAAAATGTTAGGTCAGCACTTCGAATACTTTCGTTGTCCTCTAATTTGTTATTGAGATTATTGACTGTGTTAACAACTAGTAATAGATACTGGTTATTTGCAATTTTTGAGTTTGGGGGACAGAGGTAGTGTTAGAAATACAGGACTTAGCCAATTTTGACTTTGAAAAAGTATTCAAAAGAAAAAAAGAAGTTAACAGTTAAAGAAACAGTTCTTTATAAAGAATGTTATAGAATCCGTCTAAATCTTTTTAAGGGGGCCGACCATAGTTTTATTGTGTGAAAACTACAATAGCGAAAATGTTGATTTTAATACCATATATAACTTACATTAACTTCAGTGTACTTGCAGAGTTTAGGGGAAATCTACCGTCCACGTATTTTTGAGGGACCGTCTCAAAATACAGGTACATTTACTATAGGATTTTATAGGAGAATGTAAATTTTTAGCACTTTAAAGCAAATTATACAAATACTACAATAGACATTTTGTTCAAACTATAATATTTGATGAGTAATACTATATTATACAATATATGTAAGAAACACAAAATTCTTGTTACCAGAGGGGACATCTCAAAATGCAACAAAATTAGCAAATTTTACTATTTTGTAGAGTATTACAAAATATGACGCACACAATGGATTCACATGAAAACATAATGAAAATATTGGAGATATTTTCAAATTTCTATGTTTTAAATTTCAAGAGCGTATGTTTTTTACTTTCTTTTTAATAATATTTTTATACCCCTTTCTATAAGAGCTACCGATTATCATAACGTCAAATAAAACACTGTAACGACGTCAACCTACCTATCAATTGTAAAACCGGTTACAAAATCAGTTATATCAAATTGTATTTATATTTTTATACCTATATTTTCTTAATTTTGTTTAATTTTAATAATCAAGCGAAAAAAAGTTGCATTACAACCGTAAATACGCTTCATTTTACTATGATGCGCGAAATATTGCGCAATGGAAACTATAGTCGGCCCCCTTTAAAGTCCAGAATAATCTGGGATCCTGTTTGTTTGATGTAAATATTTTGGATATTTAAATGTCCCACAGTCAAAAACCTGACCAAACTTGAAATTCTATTCCATTATCGACATGTTAAGAGAGGCCCTTCTAGGTTTATGTCTTGCTTTCTTCATTACATACGAGATAATCCTGAACGAGAAGAGGATAGATAACTTAACTTCATCAAGATTTGTTGAAAGAAGTTTATGGTAGGTAATCATAGACTCCTTGTGGCTCACCTACGAGTATGTAAACATATCAATACGTGTATTTTAAGATGACAAACAAGTTGATGTAACAAGGATATCAACGTTTAAAGTCTTCATTTTGCAAATTCTGTGGTCGATACATTGACCTTGTCAGGAAATAGAATCAATGATGAAAACAAATGACGACTGACTTCCTACATATTAATTTGTAAGGCCATTATTTACAAAATGAATTGTCTCCACCCTGCACTGTCTGAATGTCCACTTTATAACTTAATTTTGAAATATTTTTTAAGCTCAAAGCAAACAGAATGGTGTTAGCAGATGGAAGGTGTTGAAGGGAATTATAAATGGAATATTTGTAAAGAACAAATCATGAACAAAGGCAAAATTACTAGAATATTATGAATCCTAAAATGAATGTTGTCGACTATAAGTAATCAACTGCTTTTTCTGCAGGAAGAATACATGTCGGTTTATATAGAAGGCTTGAAAAGAGACTGCAAAATAACATTTAACAAAATTATCAAGGCCTTTTTAAAGAAATGTATTGTGAGCACATTTTAAGGCATTATTTTTGTTCCTAAACACTTGGACCTGGAAGTAGACGTTTTTCAAATAATAAAGGTACTAAGGCTTAAGCAATGAATAAAAAAAATCAGTCATTAATTTAGAGATAAACTTTCTTTTTTCTATAAAATGAAAATACATCCATCATCACCCCAAATAAAATGAAATGTTTTATTTTTAAATCGATGAAAATATAATCATATTTAATAGTTAAGAAAAAAGTCGTAATGGATGCTTTTTCTACTGACATAAACGTACATTTCGATATTCTTCATCTTGACTTTATGATAAAAAAGAGCAAAAACATTAAAGAGTAAGTTAACTTACGTCAATAAGAGTCGAAAACAGTTTGAATATTTGCCAACTCATGTTTTATCGAATTTAACGATTTGCGCATGTGTCATGCAATAGACAAGGTCAAAGTTTATATGCAAATGTATATAAGGCTCAATATTCTCTTGGAACGCTATCACTTCTCTGATTTTCAAGATGAAGCAAGCACTGCTGTTTACGTTATTGTTTGCTTTTCTCATTCAAATAAATGGATTGTCCATATTCACGGACAGCAGTGGCAACAGTTCATCTCTATTGGACATCAATGATCCGGAATCCAAAAATACTGACGTCTTCCGACAGTTACTGAACCAAGAAACAATCATCAGAATGTCATTGGTGAAAAACGTACATGCTTTAATGAAGGACATGCTGGATCTGAAGAAAAGTATGGAGACATTGGAAACATCCCAGCAGAAAACAGATGTAGAAGTGGCCACCTTAAAACAGGAGGTTGAAAAACTGAAAACAGAAAACCAAAGACTTGAGCTTGAAAACAGGCAATATGAGGAAACTTTCAGAGCTGTTACAGAAAATTTCACTAAAGTCGACGAACACATTCAACAGGTTATGGAAGAGTTGGAGGAGAAAAGAGAACGCTTTGAGACAAACACAAGTGCAGTCCTGGCGGATCTTAAAGTAGAAATTCGGTATCTGTCAGTGACTCTTCTGGACTTAAATAAACACACTTTGGAATTTGACAAGAAATTTCCTGAAATGATGCAGGAGAAATATGAACAAATATCTTTGAGACTGAACACTTCTGTGGAGAACTTGAACAATGATATACTGACAACAAATTACACAATATCAAAATCAGTGTCTGACTTCGAAAACTCACAAAATATCATACAAGATTCTATATCTGGTAAGTTCATTATTTTTGTTACTTTGTATGAGCTCTTATAAAGAGTATTGCATCTTACTGGTCGAAGGAATTGCACATAGGGCACATTTTACAGGAATATGGTTTCTTGAGAATGATGTTCCTTCAGTGTTTCAGTTTCAGAAACGGATTTCCTATTGAGTACATTATTTTTGAACAATTCGATTATCACTGAGCGAAAACTTTTATTAGTAAATGTATATATCAATAAATGCAGAATCTGTCAATATTTTGATGTAAGACGTTCATAGGGTTTTACAAATCTGCAGTTAATTCATTCAAATTACTCATAAATATGTTACTTAAGTCACAAGGCAATATGTATATGCAGTTTTTTTCTCCTCAGAAATAGCTTAAACAATTATTCATTATAATTATAATATCATGAAAATTTACTAATATTTAAAGGCAAGCTTACTGAGTATTTGATATAAAATGTCTACTTAAATGGTTTGTTTTGATATTAAAAAAAATCTGTATTGAAAAAAAGCTTCTTTTAAGCTTGCTATTAAATATTTTCATGGGATCAAATTTTGAAGTTTGAGGAAAAATTTTGGTCGTGGGAATTTAATTTCGTGGTTGGAAACTGTTTAGCAGTAATGCATATTAAATTTTACATTTCGTGGTGGTCATAAATCCGAGGGTCTCTCCAAACCTTGAAATCTACGAAAATTAAACCACTTACAAAAATTACTTCTATTTAATCGACATTCATTAGATCTAGTGGTGATAAAATAATTTTATATATACCGCATAGAAAATTTGCAAAGTAAATCATCTGAAAACTTACACGATATATTTTTATATTTCGAAAACAATTTTTTCTTCTTATATTTTGATTTCAGTGAACATCAGTAAAACATTAGAGGGTCTGATGGCGGAACTGAAACAATCTAAGTATGAGCAACTGCAGCTGTCTTCAACTGTGTCCGCTCTCGAGGTGTTCCGAATGAATGTGACGAATAACATTTTAGGTAATAACTTAAATAAATAAAAGAACAATAAGAGATGTTAACACTTAAAGTCGAGGTCGTTCTTTGCGATCTAGATCTTCAAAATCTCTTTTCGTTTTTAATCTTCATTTTGATGTCTGCAAAAACATGTAGTGTTTTTTTTGGTATTATGCATTATTTAGATTTTAATTGAAAGTAAAACCTAGGACTTCAAGTTTTGATTTATCATTCATGCATAATTATTCCCCATGCACATCTCCTTTTTCAATATGATAAATTGAAAACGAAATTATGCTTGTAGGTAAGACAAAAAGAGTGGGATTTTCTGCCTCAGTGACCTCATACAGCTCTTCATGGAACAGTGGAACACTGGTATTTCCTTCGGTTATCACCAATGAAGGAAATGGATACAATCCAAGTAACGGAATATTTACTGCTCCCATCGCCGGGATGTACGTCTTCTTTGTAAATGTTCAGGATAATGGAAATAATATTTATGTAGACATTGTGCTGAATGGATCTACAAAAGCCAGAACTATGTCCTATTATTCCGGTGATTCTCACGACGCGGGTCCCAATCTGGTGGTGCTGAATATTCAGAAGGGTGACGCAGTGTGGATCAAACATTACTCTGGTACAGGTTATTACAGTAATGGCCCAATAACCACTTTCTCCGGTTTTCTCTTATAATATTTGTAATAAGCTCTCTATGCTTACAGTGTACATTGATTTGATATGTTGTATATATATATGAAGTAGTAAACATCTCTGTCTGAGTTTTCTTGAATATAGACTGCGCCTAAGCATAAATTTTAAAAAATATAAAATTACAGTATCTCTGAGTGAATTTGTTCTTTAATTTTCATGCATCATGTGATTAAAAAAATAATAAAATGTTGTAAAGACTGATGGTATTGAATGTCGATTTTGATACATAGTGTTTTAATAAAATCAATAATTTATTAATACATCTTGTCATCGAATTTAAAAGCATTGGTGTGAGAAACATTCTAATATAGCATTACTGAGTATTTAAAATGACTGTACAGCATAATCTTACAAAACAAACGAAATGGAATATTTAAGTTGTTGTTGAACAAAAGGTGTAAAAAATATAGGGCGTTCATTTAAAAGGAAATTTTTATTTTTTTCTAATAGTTTGATTACTCTTTCCTAATTTGATATTTGAAGTGCCACTTAAAGATATGAATTATTGAATTATAAATAAAAAAGAGAGCCTTTCAAAGCGGCATTTTACTCCAAGATCAAGGTCATGATAAAAATATCAGTTAACAATAGGAACAGTCTGTCAACAAGTAATGAACATGTACTTTAAAAAAAAAGCTTTGTCTCGTTTTTATAACTTTTTTTTTTAGTAGTAGCTGAAATTTTTAAGGCAAGATCAAGAAGTAAACCATGATATGCCTTTCTGAAAAGTTTGTTTGTTATTTAAAGTCTCTGAGAGAATTTTTCACTCATATTGATATATATAACTACTTGCAAGAAGAGGGCTGCAACATTTGGACCCGTTCTCAGCATTTAAACTCTTGTGCAAATGTTCTAACCACTATACCACGCGGGCGACTGTGGCCAAAGGTAGGAAAAGCCATGTTTTTCTCATTCAAGAGAATCTGATGTAGAAGATATTAAAAAAACTGTAGGTTAAACTTAAAGGTCAAGGTCAGGAAGTCCAAAGTCAAAGTAAACGCCGAAAAGTCGTCTTGAAACAGTAATTAATGCATTTGCCTTGTTAAGGCATTTTATTAGAAAAGGAACAAGGGTGTAAACTAATACATGTATATGTGCATAGATCCTTGAGTAAAAAGACACAAAAACAAAAAACAAGAAAAATGGACAAAATATCTTAAAGGTTAAATTCCTCGTAGGTCACAGAAATTAGAATTGCATGGTGGGTGAATATAAAAATCGTAAGTGCATTACAATTTATTTTATTTTTGAATACACAACAAAAAATTCACAAAATTACATATCATCCGGAAAAAAACTCCAGTGAAATCTTCTTATATTGATCATCAAGTAATTGTCCCTAATTGTCACGCTTCATAGCGACCATGTTTGTTAAGAACACCTTCTCTCCCTCTCTCAAAAGGTTTGTGGAAGCAACTAAAAGATACGTTTTGTATACACTAATAACCACTCAATTCAAAGGAAAATGGGTTGGTATTAACATTGAAATTCAGATTTTGACCCCCAAAGCTCGTTTAACAATGGGCTGCAATAATAAAAACCCTTGTCGCCTCAATAGTACATTAAAAGCGTCTTATCGCTGGTATTGCACATATTAAATATGATAACCATTCTTCTCTTCTTCAATTGTTATCACAAATGAATTTTTAGATAGGGACAAACAAGGCCTGGGGATCAAATATAGTTCTTGCTACAAGTAGTGTGCTTGTCATATACTTTGTACAGAGTTAAAAATCATAATTTTTTTGTGAAGGCTTTGCCACAAATAATAATAATAATAATAAAACTAGAGCAAAGCCCGTTGCAAGGAACAAGTAGGTCTTCCGTCCTGTTTTGACCGTAAGTGACGTCAACAAAGGAAAGCAATGAGCTAAGTCGTCTCCAGTGACATTTTAATTTCATTTTTGCGTCAAAACCTTCAAAAATAGGCTATTTTTGGCTACATCCGGTTTGACCGGAAGTGATGTCGAGGGGCGGAAAATTAAGTTGTATGCTTCCTGTGATATATGTTAGCCAAAAACATGTCAAGAACGGCAAAAATATTAAAATTTCTAACGACTTCCGGTTTGACCGGATGTGAGTTCACCGGATGACGATCTCAATAGATTAAGCTTGACATTTTGAACACCTTTGCTTCTGTGACCAAGTGAAATAAAGATGTCGATGTAGGTTTCTATATTTATTTTCGTAATATATAAGGTGATTCTACAAAAA